AAAGGAGTCGTGATCAAGGTAGTTTTGGACGAAATGACATTGACCGTACATGAGCCCAATCACACCAGTGACTAAGGACTGACTGACAATGTTTGGTCACTGAGGGGGCAAAAGGGCATGAGGCATCTTAGCCCTTAGCATGATTTTCAGTGTCTGTGCCAAAGACCACCTCCTACCCTCCTCACTCTGACTGAACAGTCACTGTGTAATGCCCGGCCGAGCATCAGTCTGATGCATTCATTGCGGACTGTTCTCAATTTTAATTTTTAAACTGACTAGTAATTATAAATTGTGGACACTCCGAGGCGCAGTCTGGCAAGCATGCAGTCTTCTTGCTTTGTGCAGCACATGCGTTCTTCAATGCACAAATTGGCCTGTCAGAACTTCTTGGACCCTGGGCCAGTCAAGACTCTGATTGACATCATGTCTGACAATGTCGATGACATTGACCTTTTGCGGGGAGCTGTCCCTCAGGTGAAGGATTGGGTCCGTGTTTGGCAGATGCTGCGACATGCTTCATTCAACACGGCCGAATTTTGGCATGTTCAGCCAATATATTATTTATTATTATTTGTTTAAACATTCCTATGTGGCTGTTTACTGACATTGAGCATTAAATTAGTCTTCTCGCCTCCAGACTTAGGAGAAACATATGAATGTGGAAGAGTACTTGACAAGCTTGACAGATGCCAGATCAAGGGGCCCCTACAGGAAGCAGATTCGCAACATGTGCTCAATAATGGCTGAAACAGTGCGAGAACACAACCGTTCCATTCTGTCTGACTGCTCCTCGTTGTGCCTGACAATTGATGACAAGGATCCATACCGCTTGGTTCGGTTCCAGGCAGCCAGATTGACAACGAAGGGGCATGTCTTGGTTGACCGTGGGTTACTTGGTGTGGCTGCTTTGATGATGATTTTATTAATTTTTGTCGGAGTCGTCATTATTGTTGTCACAAGACCCTAATGACAATTGTTGAATTGCCAAGTTCAAGGTTCCCACAAGAAGTGGTGACTTGCAGAACTACGACGAAGACTATGCCATAAAGGTTTGCCAGAGCATTGCAGGGCTACTGGCGGCAGCGTGCACAAGCCTTGATGGCGTGCATGACGCAACATTGCAACCCAGTCGGCTGACTCATCAGTTTTTTTAATTTGGTGTTCCTGATGTGTTTGTGTACCATAAGTGTACCAGGCTGTTGAGGGTCTCTCAATGTTGTTTGCCGGCCAGTCAGGTATGACTCAATATTGCCAAAAGTTCACACCATTGTGACAGATGGAGCGAGGCCAATGACGAAGGCCCGTGCCTATCTGACATGTGGGTTCGGGAAGGTCAGCCTGTGCATCAAGGATCCGGTTCACACCATCAGAATTGCTTGCATGACGCCATGCCAAGTGGAGACTGACTTTGCTGGATGGTGGTCTGACGTTTCTTGGAGCTCGTCATTAGGCTGAACCTTTTATTAATGATTGGTTGTTGTCCTTTTGGGGTGGGTGGTCCTTCTGTGATTGTTGGCTGCCCCAACCCAACTTCAGGTGTTTGACTCGAAACATAGTCTTGTTCCGTCAATACAGTATTCGCAAAAGTTGCGGTATACCCTGGTTGCTCCCCAGTGGCTTGTTTGTGTCTCAGCAATTTTTTTAGTCTTAATAGTTAAAGCTTGGCACCTGTTTCGGGCTTTTGACTGACGAGTCGTTGTGCAATAGGCATCTGAGAGTGTTAGTTCATTCAACTCTGCCCACATCACCACTTGGCATGGTGATGGATCCAAGGAATGCCACGCTTGACAACGGCTTCGGGCCGAAATCCAGTACAGGTTTGACAACTGTTCTCCGGCATATGTCTTTTGCAGCGCACAGGTGGGAATCCACAGTTGTCCCGCAGCGCAGGTATGTGTTTTCGCAGTCCTATATTGCCTTACTCCTGTCACTCCGCGCGGCTGACTTACGTCTGACAGGCAAAGAACGAGATCGAGCACTGTCGATGCTTGAACGCATGACCCCTCACCACGCAGCCATAGCTGGCCTTATGGCAGATTGGGGGGATGACGCGGGGCGCCTTGTCAAAATATTTGAGGCACAGCGGTTGTCTGACATAGCGCTGGCCAAAGACCACCTTGACGATTACAAGTCCAGGGTGAGCAAGCTGTACATTGATGGTGGGATTCTGGTCCAGCCTGACCAGCCTGATGAAGACGAGAACCAGCCCTTTGTTTATCATAAAGACCGCTTTTTGATGATCAGATTGCTTTCTCACCGACAGGTTTAAGTCAAAAGACACTTAGGACTAAGACTTGAATTGTCGAGGAAGCCATGAAGCAGAGAAACCAGTTCAGGTAGCTGTTGGGATGTTCGTCACTGGTCATTTTGATTGTGCTGAGACTTCAGGTCATACACCGCTATGGCCATAAAGGTTGCCAAAGAAACGCCACCACTCATTGTTGGCAGCAGATTGTTCACTCTCTGGAGCCCAACAGGGGCGGATGACATCAAGAGAGCTATGACATCCATGAGGAGTATTGCTGAGGCAAGTTTGGAGCCTCCGCAGTGTCCTAGACTTTGTAGTCAGTTGGTGTAAGTTAAACTTTAAATAACTATATTTATACATTGTTCACTCAACTGAAGTACTGAATTTGGTCAACTTAGGATAGACTTACTGCAGAGTTTCCGGACAGAGGCACTCATCTCAACTTTGCATGTTTTGATTTGAAGCGGTGGGAGAAGATGGTGGGCTTGCAGCGGTCTGACATGAATGCAGCAGCCAAGATTGACACTGACCTAAGATGCCGTGCCATTGCTTTGGCCAGGTCATTTCAGGGGACTCGCATCTTGTCCAACCCTGGCGACGAGGCTAAGCTGGGAGAAGAGTTCAGCGCATGTGCCCTGAGGCTTGTCTATGCCAAGAGGAGGGACCGGTCCTGTCAACCGCTTCAGTTAGTTGAATCTTGGGCTAGGGTCACACTGATTTGATGTTTAGTTCAGGCTCACCAAAGACAGTCATTTTGAGAGCCAATGCTTTCCACAGTCACATATGAACCCCTGCAGGACAACGACTGAGACTGACGAGATTGACAACAAGACTTGGTGGGGCACCAAACTTGGCAACTTGCGTGAGCTGAGGTTTGTCACACCCTTGATAGCGTGGTATTGTTCCATAGAGCAAACTACGGTTGCAGTTGAACAAAGCCTGAGCTTGACCAAGTCCTTGTTGGAGAAGCACTGTGGGCCAATGTTGGACTCTGGCTTGACCATGGACGAGATGCTATTGGTTGTGTTGGGTGGCCCACAGAAGGTGGATGAAATTTGCATCAGGAACAAAGCTGATGAGAAGAGTGGCCTCACTCAAGCAGCTCATGGCTTGACTGACCTTTCAAGGGATTGGGCAGGTCTTTGGCTCAGGCACCATGGAAGACGGTTTGCTTTATACAAGCAGAGGTCTGACGCTGGCGTGAAGAGGCCCGAGAAGCCTGGAAGTGAAGTGTCTGTCGTCAATGCCCGAAGACAGTCCATCAAACGCATGCTTGACCGGTCTGACCGGTCCGACCAGGCAAACACAGTGGCAGGCAAGAAGCTTGGTGACCTCTTTCCGCGACTACGTCGACAACACCAGCCTGACAAGAATGATGGCCTGCAGAAGTTCAGAAGTTACACCAAAAACCAGTGGACTGTCAACAGGTCGGCGTTCCGCACGCATTCACTGACTAACATGAGGGCTGGGGGCGTTTTCAAGCCTGGTCAGGTGTGTTTGGAAGCCCAGAGACAGTGGAATGTGGTTGTCAATGTGGCCGATGTCCCCTTGTCTGATGTGTCGCAAGACAAGCCAAAGGGGTCTGTTGTTGTGATGGCCTGGGGCTGCAATGACGCTGTGTTTGACAACAGGGTTGACTATGTCGTGGTCAAGAACATGAGGTCTGACGTTCTGTTTGCGTCTGATGCGCCTCCAAAGAGAGGCACTGTCCAGTTAGCGTTGCTCGTGGTTGCGCTTGGCTGTGCAGTGGTTCAGTCCAACAAGTGGAGGGAACTCGATCTTAGACGGCCACATTTCCCTGATGTCATGATGTTTCAGAAGTCGCTAGGCTTGACGATAGCCAGGCTCATGTTGACAAAGAGGTTCAGGACTGTCTATCCAGATTTGGCAGCCAGCTTTCATAAGTTGGCCCGGGCTGACAAGTCTGGCAAGTGGACAGCGGAGGATGAAGACCATTCCAAGCCTGACCTGTCCAAGCCTGACTACTGGCACATCAATGGCTTAAGTGATGTTTGCGGTTTTCTTCGGAAAGTGCGAAGGATTGACAACAGGGATGGCGCCGTGTTTAGCAAAGTTTCAAAGGCCACCAATGGCTCAGGCTCAACTTTGTCTGACCAGCCTGACCAGCCAAAGGCGGCTGGCATGCGGCCAAGGCCTGACCACATCAAGTCCATTTTCACAAGAGCCTCAGCCTCACAGTTGGGAAGGTCCCATATGGGCCCCAAACGTCACCGCCGTTTGACTGTCCAAAAGGGTGCTGTTGCCGCCTTCCACTTTCTTCCTTTGCTTTGTTTCTTGCTTTGCTTTACTTCTTTGCTTTAAACCTTTGTTGGCCAGGTGCTTCTGCTGACCGCTGACCTTTCGCGTTGTTGAGAAAAAAGGTGTGCTTAACTTCTGTCTGGTTATAAGACCAAGTTTATGTGCACCAAACCCCCAAATGGCCAAATGAGAAAACATTTTTCGGCAAGGCCCAAAGGCCAACCCAGTCATGATTTTTCAATCCCAAAATGAAGTAGAGGCCCCCCCTAGCTGAAACTATTTGCGGTGAATGTGGTCCAACACAGTCGCTCCTACATCTAAATCTAAAGTCGTATATACGTGCATTTAAATAGATTATGTAGTATATACATACTGTGAGTCCAATGATGCCGGGATGACGGGATGCTCCACTGCAAGGCCGACGAGTCCGTCACTGCTTCGATTGCTGGCGGGTCTCTTGACCTCAGCTGGCTTCGTTGCGAGCATGCATTGGATGCTGCACCCGGGAGATCCGCATGGAACTTAGTACAGTAGACAAGACCACAAAACGCACTGGAAGCACCCTGTAGCTAGGTATTGTAACTAGGTACTTGTTTACATACTTTTGAACTTGTCCTGTAGCTAGGTACTGTATCCTCAGTCTTGGATTTGGGGCTTTCCCGTATGTGGCCCCACCCTTGGTCGCTCTCGCGTGATTCCATCAGAAGTCCCAATACCTGAGAACATGCACCCAAGTGTGCTGGCAGCAAGGCAGTGGTGGGTACTTCGCACAGCCTCATTTGGTATTCTCTTGCCACCCCGGCTGTTGGTGACTTGGGGCACTCACAAGAGAGAGAGAGAGAGAGAGAGAGAGACTAGTGCAGATGCGCCCTTCTAGCTGCAAACTTCAGGTGATGATGGGACTTCTTGTTTATCCAAGAATCCCATCGCGATATGCAGCTTCGTTGGAGCCACGACCGGTGAAGGCACAAGCGAGAGCTTTGACAGGCTGTTGAACTGTTCCGCCCGAATGTTTTGGATCCAGGTCAAATCGCTGTATTGCCAGAAACTCAGAGTTGAGTCAATTCGTTTTGCTTGCAACGTGCGGCTACTTGGCGAGGTCGCTAGTTTCAGCTTGCGACCTGAGTTTAGGAAAGGATTTAGGCTCGTTTGTGTAGCTTTATGATAGGCAAAAGCCGTATCGGAAATGTGCAGTTGCAACAATTCCACCTTTGAAGGATGACAGGGGGAACTTACAATGTGTGAGCCATTGTGCCATGACTCTCTGAGCGGAAAAGTGGCACTCAAAGTGGAGACGCGGAGAAGAGGGATCGGAGAGCATTCCTCCCTTGCTTGCTGGACTTGAAAACCTGGCAGGCGCTGAATGGCACTTGACGTACAATGATGTCTGCAGCCTTCTGAGGCCATACATTGTCTCATTCTTTGGAGGTCCCAGAAGCCTTGGTAAGTCATAGGCGATAGGCCATAGGCTTCTAAATATCTTCAATCAAGGAGCATAGCCGCATAGCCTCAAACAAACTGCTTGGGAATATGACAGGTTCTGAGGACTTTTCAAGCTGATTTCGGCGGGATTCCGTCAAACCTGCATATTAGGCCATTGCTGCAACCTGTGCTCCGGTGTGGAGTGGCAGAAGGCAAGGTACCACTTTGAAACAGCTGCGCGCGTGTGCTTGCATATGTATTGATTTGGAGCTTTGCACGTGAGACCTTGGTACCAAGGAAGAGGGATGCGTTACCGCTAGGTGAATCAACAGATATCGATATAGCTCAAGTCAAGCATAAAACAGTTTCTGCACACCCCACGGGCAGCGCAGCAGTTCAAGCCTAAAAAGCCCTCAAGACGGCCTTCTGATGCTTTGTATATAGATTTTCTCTCGCTGGTGGAGGTGGGTGTGGCATATTGGACCTTGGCTGTGGCACCAGTACATTCAGCCATTGAGCTCAGGATGACCCTCGAGCTAGTACTCATTGTTCTTGGGGCTTCAGTTTGCGTGCATAGACACCCATTGAGAACTCAAACGTTTCAAGACAAAGACACGCATGGCTCAAACATTTGGGCTCAAATTGCATTTGGCTCACCTTTGGTGCGTCAAGATCGTTTCTAGAAGTGACAGCCACTTGGCAAAAAGAAACAAGGACTTACTGGTACCAGCTGTGATAAACCAAGTTCCGTAAGTTTTGAGCTCATATAGAACAGTTGAACAGTTTGCCAACTGCATCCAAGAATGCTAGGCGCCACTTGCTGCGACGAATGGGCGCGCAGCCGTCCTCATCCCCAAAGGGCATTGGGGCTCGTGGCCGGGCCCTAAATCGTACAGGAGCATTTCCTTATCTCTTGCTTTGGTGCTCATCTCGCATTTTCTCAGGAAATGCTGGAGCTATTCAACAATGTCATGATGCACTGCAGCCAGAGAGGGAGGCCTGGATTTCAACTCCATGGATACACTTCCATCAGAAGACCCTTTCAGGCCCGACCTGCAAGGAGATGCCTTCCGCAGCCGACCTACGTCAGAGAAATGTCCACCAAACAATGCATAGTCAGCATGCACTTCAGACAGCCTACTGTAGCCATTGGACTGTGGGTTCAATGAGGCAGGACGCAGGATTAGCAGAATGGTTTGAATTGTTCATCTCGTTCCCCAGCCATTGTTTGCCGTTGTCATCAGCATTGGGCCTTGCTCAATCCTGATGTTCCGAGGCTTGCGTGGTCGGGAGCTACTCACCTGAATTGGTTCTGCTATTTTAGTAGGCTTTTAGCGTTTTGAGCTGTTTGTTTGAACCTTGCGCATCTTGTCCCAGTTCAAAGGATGCCCAATGTTTTGCAGAAGGCTGTGCTACGTTCGGCTTGGTTTGTTCATGTTTGTTCTTTACATGGGAAGCAGCCTGTCTTCAAACTGTATTTGCGCTAGTGCATGACAAGTACGGAGACGACAAAAGCTGGAATATGGCAAGTACATCTGGAAAGTAAAGAAGCTTTGACCGAACTCCCCCGAGAAGTTTACTCGCACAGCTTCTGGCTTACCGGGCAGGAAGAAGAGCAAGGTAAAACCACTTTTTCTAAGCTTTAGGAACTTTAGGTTACGGTGCCATCGAATATTTTTTAATAGGTATCATTGGTGAATATTGATACATAATTGAGTGAGAAAGAGTGGTGGACTTGCAAGACTGCTTGCATCCATACCCGCATGCTGAGGTTTCAGAGACAGAGGCCCTTGGTTTACATCAAACGTGTTGTGAATTCGCAGCGGTTTTTGGTCTTGGATGGTCATGGATAGCATTGGCGAGTCCAAAGTCCTAAGAGTCAGTTTGAAAACTTGCACTCAGGATGAGGAGAACGAAGATGATGAGCCACCATCCCACTCGCGAAAGCAGCCCACCGAGGCCAGGTTTGATGGAGACAAACGGTGGTTCCTCTCCTTCTTGCGACCACGTGAGGCATGGGAAGCACGGCCATATTCAAGTCAATCTACCGCATCTACTTTTGCCTCAACGGGCTTCTGGGATTGCAAGACTTCCGCCTTTGCCCTCCCTATGTTCAATCTGTGGACATGCAAGGCTTGCACTATTCATGCTTGGCTGTCGATGTTTTTTTGTAGTTCTTCTTGTGGCATGCATAGAGATCTAATGAACACACACACAGACACACATATATTTTGGTATGCATTTATTGTGTATACTGGACGGGTCATGTGGGGCAGTAGCATGCTTCAGGAAAGCACCAGGATGCGGCCTCAGGGTACTCCGTCCGGCCTACGAGTTCTACCTCACAGATGAGTGGCTTTACGCCTTCGACCACACCCGGCTCAAAAAGGTCAACAGCCTCCAGAAGGCACTGCTAGACTGTGGGTTGTGAAACACATTTATATGGCACATGCTTGTTGGTCTCACTATGCAGGTGTTTTGGTTTCAAAGGATTCCATGCTTGGAGCGCATTGTCTTACGCATAGATATGTGCACAAACGTTTGGATTCAAACGGAATGGTTCGCAGTGTCGGAACTGACAAACGACAGCCAACACAACCTCAAACTCGTGCTCTTTCAGTTTCACAGGCGGATTTTTGATCTCAGGTGTTGGTTCTTGATGAGGTCCACAAGACCCCATTTACAACACCACTAATCCAGGTCCTTTGTTTGCTGGCTTCTCCGTCAGGTCCATGCTTGGAAAAATATCAATCAATACAATAGTCAGCGCATGTCAATCACATGGACCACCACAAGTCACAGGCAGCATATAATCGGCTTTGAGTGAGTGCGCACGCTGCCACCATCAACACCACCCCCACTACCAGACCACAATTATATGATATGCATCATATCCTTGATGCTGGAGGTCCTTTGTGTTTGAGCTTGATTCAGGAGCCGGCTGTCCAGAAGTGGATCGCTCCCCAGTTCGGCAGGCAGCCCCGAAGCATTGCGGGAGGCTGGTGGAGAGATAACAGAATGTGTGGCTTGTTTTAGGTTTCTAGCCAGGGCTTGCCTTTGCTCACCGTCAGTGTGGGAACAATGCTGTAAGTTTCGACAGAAGGCTCGGATTTGAACCCTGCAGGCCGCACTTTGCGCGTCAGGAATCCCACGGCCCGCAACCCAGTGAAGTCAAACTGAATTTGTGAACTCCTATCCGGACTTATGCATCAGCTGTCAGTGTTTTGATCAGCTGTCTTTGCAGCTTGATTGCCTGGCCTTCCAGACTACAGTTGGAGGCCGAGTTCTCGAGAAATTGCGCTGAATGATGTTAAACTGGAGGATGCGCGGCAACGCGCCACAAAATCGTTGGATGCTTGTCCATGGAAGTTTGGATAGCTTGGCCTTCGTTTGGTCGCTGCTTCCCTTCGAGGGGCTCTTTCATAGTTTTGCCGTCTCTTTGTTTCCTGAGCGTCCTTGATACTAGTAGCGATGCCAGGAGCCCCTAATAGCGTCCTTGCTCCTAGTAGTAAGGCCAGGAGCCCCTAGTAGCTTCTTGTTACTACTAGTAAGGCACTTGTTACTAGAAGCGATGCACTTGTTACTACTGGCTTCTTGCTCCTAGTAGTAAGGCCAGGAGCCCCTAGTAGCGTCTCTGTGCCTGAGACGGCCAAGGAAGTTTTGCAAGCCAAATTACGTGCATCTCGAGCAGACTCTGTGCCTTCGGAGGCCGATCGGCCAGCCGGTGAGTGACGGGTGTTTGCAAGAGAGTGCCCCCTCCACCACGGCTAATTGGCTGCTCACTGTGCTGCCTCATGATCTGTGCAACATGCTAGTTTTCACCTTTGACAAGGGCCAGAAGTGTTCCCCTAACCATGCAGATGGTGATGTAACATGGTTGGTTACCTTGGGCTGGAGTACACTTGCTGACAAAGCTGTTTGAAACCAATAGCACTGGCGATTTGATGTCATTTCCTTCTACAAGTGAGAAGGAGACAAAGAGCACCAAGACAAAGAGCGTGCGGCTCCAGGCGGGGATAGACATTCTTGTAAACACGACCTTTGAAGATTGAAACTTAGGTTTGGATTTTGTTGAAGACAACGCAGATGCGTCGTGATGCTTTGGGTTTGTGTAGTAGAGGACCCTGCCTTTGCAGCTCCTGGACCGGCGCGAGGAGGTGAGCCAGCCTCAAAATCATAGCGTTAAGCTTTTATTTAAAATTGATCATGTTTGGTGAGATCCTGCAGAATCTTGCACATTCCTGCCAAAAAAAGCACAAACGAAGCCTCTTGGTGGGATGTTTGCATGTGTATTCTCTTGGAGTGCAAGAAATGTGGTGTCTCAAAACGAAGCCAAAACGAAGCCCCAAAGCCAAATGTGAACCTGGTGCGAGCTGCATGAGGGGTTCTCCTTAATTGACACTTAATTTGACAAGTGCCCAGGCCAAGCATGGGCAAGATACAAAGGCTGCTTGATAAAAAGTGGTGTGACAAAGGATGCGATGCGTACGGCGTCCCTTCAACGGCAGAAGTCTGAGCGCTTCACATTTCCAATAAATGCAGAGGCACCTCCAGACCTTTGGACTAGCGGCAACCTGTGTGATAAACACAAAAGTGAAGGAAGGGCACACAATTGAAGCTTGAGCATTTCCAGGCGTAGCTTCAGTTTCATGGTAGCCCTAGGGAGACTTGTTGTTGGCAACATCAGCTGACGCATCTTTTTTGGTAAACCGGCACGTCCTAGCCCATTCGAGGAACACCAGCTGCAAGCAGCCAAGAGCTTCTTTTCTCAGCTTCTGGCAGGAGCGCAGGCGAGAAGTAAAGACATGTAGCAGGATAGTACTGACGCTACTTACGATATATGCATATTACTATTTGTTTACTCTATCAATCATTTTTTGTAGGTCGAAATCTGACCGCCAAGGTTGAACCACCCTATATTGTTGCTCTAGGTTGAAGTCATAGACTTGGCAGAGCCAAGGTGACTCCCCCTGCCAATGCTCGTTGTTGACAAACCAGTCATATTGAACCTTGAATTTGGAAAAGTGAGAGAACGGTAGACTACAAGCTAAATCAGGCTACATGCTTCACTGCTTGTACCAGCCGCGCATCACATGTTACCCCGTTTATGTCATATCGGATATGTATGTGCATGGGTATACGTACATATGTATATATGTGTTGTAAGTGTATATGTATATATTTACAGTATATACAGTATACGATACGTTTCGCTTTGAGCTCTTTTTGCTCCTCTCACCTGGAGCTATACCACGCAGCAGAGAGCCTATGTAAACTGTGTAAGCATGTTGCTTACAACTTATCAGCTTATCACAGTATATGCACCAGTGATCACACGAATTGCAAGTGCAAGCAATGCCCTCAAAATGCCATAATTTTCAGAGCGCGCAAAACTACACATGAACAGTGCAGCACACTTTTGCCAGTTTGCCGGAATTGATCTCATCCCCACCTCATCCTCATACAAAGATGGTTCACCTTAGGGCGTCCAGCTTTGTCGAGATTGCTGGTTGCTGGCATATTTTCTGCCTTTTGAACCTAATGGCAGACATCATTGGTTCAATTGATGCGAATGTACCCCACTGCTGCGGTCATCTCGGCAACGGGTTCAGGTTTCACCCACAAGGCACCAATTTTGTTCCATATCATAGATGTTTGACTTCAGGTGAAGCACTGACAGAGGCTCAAAGAACTTCGCGCTTGGAAAGGGCACCTCAGGCGAGAGCAATGCCCTAATGGTGGCTTATGCGATACTAAGTATACATGTGCGTGATGCTCTTAGAGCTTGCAATGCCGCTTGGCACAGGTTGAGCAAGGTTGGCGAACAAGAGGCGGCATGCTGAAGCCTCAACCCTCAGTATTAGGTCAACGGAGCCTTGGCGAGGATGATCGTGGAAGATGCGAATTGTTTTTTCAGGCTTCATGCATGTCCCGAGATGAGAGTATGTCAGTGAAGAATGTTTCTGGCCTTATGGCTATAGTAAGGTATGCAGACGCTGCCGACGGCGTTTAATTAAGCAACGGCTGCTTCAAGAATTAAGTTATAACCCTTGCGGGGTCCTTGCGTATCACAAGCAAGACTGGGAAGTTGCGTGCATCCATCCCTTTCTTGAAGCACATGTTCTCCTTATAGCAATAAAACTCCGGGTGCCTTGAAAGTCACCATGCAGGCCTTGCAGGTATATGGTTTGCATTCACACAACCATGCATACTTAAAGTCACCTCGTTGAGCCATAGAGAGCAAATGTAGAATTCAGAATCAATGTAGCTACTAGGGGCCCCTGGCATCGCTACTAGGAGCACGGACGCTACTAGGGGCTCCTGGCCTTACTACTAGGAGCAAGGACGCTACTAGTCACTCCGCACGCAATACTCAGCAAAGCTTCGGACTGTTGAAACTGGAACCCACATGTTTGGTCCCGTGCAGTGGCTGTACAAAGCTAAGCTGCACTGTAGCATGCGGTGGCTCTATTTTCCAGTTGATGCCTTGCTTTTTGTGCAGTTTTCTGCTTTTCTGCCAGAGATTGCCATCTCCGGCCTAGTTTCACCGTCTCACGGCGATTCCTCATCATTGGAGGGGATGACACCATAGAATTTGGTCAAGAAGCTCGTTTCAGTTGCATGAGCCACTGAAAAGAACCATCACAGGTGAGCACGGGTGAGCACTGCAAGTTGACTTGTGAAGATCGAAGGCTACGACTACAACTGCCAATGTATGCACTTAAATGAATTTCACAAATATATCTATCCGCCATTTATTTATTTATTCTTTATTGAGCTATTTCGTCATTCCCGGCTTTTTGTCGCAGCTGCACCCTTGTGCCTGAATGATATCCCAGGCCTGCAGCTTCGAGAAGACTTTCCACAGGCGCAGCTGGTAGGGTGAGCAAGTAGTAATGCCAGGAGCTATTAGTAACTTCTTAGCAGCTTCTTGCTACTTGTAGCGATGGCCTCCACCTAGTAGTTTCTGCCAGGCTTCAGTGACTTTAGTGGCCTTGGTCTCAGAATGTTATTCGTTTCGTCGAGTGGTGACCCAGATGGGTACAATAATTTCAGTGAAGGACACTGTTGCAGAATGAACTGGAACACTTGGGGTTGCCAAGGATGTGTCCGAGGTGCTGATTGCCAAGCTGAAGGACTCCGGGCGATCTCCAACGCCTTTGAGCATGTGCACAGCCACGCGACCTGAGGATTTACACGCCGATGACCCGAGGGCTTGGTATCCAAGTTTCCGTAAGTTTACTCGGATTGAACACTATAAATCTACTATCCTTTTTGGCGGTCCCAGAGCAGGCTTGGTGACCTGGTCATGCCTGTACTGTAGGTCACTTGCATCCTGGGGGATTGTCGCGCACAGAATGAGGCGCGGTGCGGGCAGAATGTGCAAACGCAGGCTGTGACTCTTTCCGAAAGGAATTTGCAAGATTGGAGGGCAAGATGGCCGTTGTTGTGGACAAGGTGCACCGCGCTGTATCAGAAAGCCACATTGCATCAGCACCATGCCTGCATGTCATGATTGTCTAGCGTGAGCTTGGTGCAAGGGTACTGTGGATGCTGTCCATGATGCGCCAGAAAAGGCCTTTGAAACCGGGGCATGTGTTGATCCACTGCAAGATCCTGATATAAATATTGATTCCTTGTCCTGTGATGTCCTTTATAAGCTTTTTGTCACATGTTCTTGGCTCAGCAGCTTTCAGATCGTTTCAGATGACAATTGCGCAAATTTCCTCGGCATCATCTTTGCGCAGAGGCCAGGATGCTTCGGGGCGCTTGCTCTTTCCTGAAGCCGGATGGGTGCCGGCCTTATGGGTTGAGATCACAGAGGCTCAAAGCTGCAATTAGATGCAATTAGTCAGTATGGGTTGAATTCAACAGCTTCCTGTAGCAGGATCCTCGTCTCCATCAGCTTTGCAACTGCTGCGCAAGTCGTGGGCCTTGGGTCAAGGCTTTTTGTTTTTGCAGGGCTTCGCAGCTTGCGCGCTCTCTTTCGTTCTCTCTCTCCTCTCTCAAGGCTATGCATGAATCGGCGTTTTTGTTTGAGAACAGCTGTATGAGGTCTTGCTTCTGAGAAGGATTGCGCGGGAGCTCCAATTGAAGTTGGTGCAGCGGATTCTTCAGGTGTCGTGATGAAGTTATGGAGGGTTTTATGTTTTCATGATGCTCCTGGGCCAGGCTGAAAAAGAGATGCGGCTGATCTCGCTACTGAGCAGGACTGCCATTTGTGCCAGGACCGTCAGACAAGTCTTGCAACGGGAAGGAGCTGGGATGATTCCGTCTCAAGCTGCCTTGGAGACCCAGAGTTTGGCACCAAGACCGCCCCTCGAGTTGGCCTCACGAGTTTCCAGTTGCAAGCAAACCATGGCAGCAAAACTGAGGCTCACCAGACGAGAGTTGGTCGGAGCTCGAAGCATTGCAATGTCCTTTTTGGACTTCTGACCCACGAGGACAAGCTGCTTTACAGTGGCCCACTCCGCAGCCAGTTACTTAGATTGTTTGCGGATATATACATGTACCTTGGTGCCACCAGCCGTCACTAGCAGCCTCCAGCTACTGATTGAAGGTGAAGAGTTTGTGTTTTTCCAGCATGACAGCCTTGCCTGGGTCTTGGTTGTTTTGAGTTGCTAGGGGTTCGTGCACAAACCAGCTAGGTAGTGGGCATCACTGTTGAGCAAGAGGCACGGTGGCTTGACCAGTTGATTTGCCTGGCATTGTAGGTTTCATGGCTCAAGAGATCTTTATCCGTAAGGATGAAGAGTCCGTGTGCATGCAGGTGAAGAAGCAACGTTTAGCCGCGGGGCCAAACGTTTTGTTCTGCATGTGATTGGGGCGGTCAAAAGTTGAAAGGGGCGACATCAGTCCATGCAGTTTGATTTGTAGGATTTTTTTTATATACATCTCTTAGGGTGAAGACTCAACTGGATGCGTAGTTTGGCTGAAGACTCAGACTGTCCAGGGATGGGCCCGAAAGAGAATGTCGTTCCTCCAGGCCATCGGCGTATTCAACATGTGTCTACCTTTGTGCCACTGCCTCAACTTATATACTGCTTCAAGCTGTCGGGCATTTGGCATTTTCACTCCTGAGTTGGCTTGGGCTCAGGGCAAGCCACACCTCGTGCGTGGCAAGCGTGTTGTTGAGCTAGGTGCATCAGACAGAGCAGTTCGCGAAGAAGCGTAGGAGGGCGTAGCAGCGGTAGGCAGTTAAGAATTCCATTTGGGAGGCCTTTGCATTTCAATTCGCAAAGGGGTGCCTGAGCTGAACCCATAGTACTGAGACTTTGTATGTCAGCCTCTCTGGAAGCAGGCAAGTATTTAGAATCAGTGAATCAAGGCTGTCACCAAACTCACAACTTGCCAGAAAATCCGCTTCTCACAGGTTTATAATAGATAGTAACAAGAAGCTCTTTAGTAACTAGAAGCTACTAGGTGGAGGCCATTGCTATAAGGTTGGAAGCCATCACTACTAGTAACAATTAAGGAACTTTTTAAGTATGTCTTTGATCGCTATTCTTGGAAGAAGGCCTTTTGACAGTACGTGTAAATGTGCTGCTTCCCAGGCGCGGGCACTGGCCTGGTTGGCTTAGTTTGTGCTGCCTTGGGAGCTTCTGAAGTGGTACCCTTCGGAGCTTATGCAGCAGGATGGATGCGCAATAAACTCACAGAACTACATGCATCAAGACACACACGCACAAACATATGACAAGAATAAACGATTGTTTTTGACTTCGATTCTAGGTACTCACTGACCTGTCTCAAGGGCTGCCACTCCTCCAACGGAACGTGGACTTGAATTCAGAGGCCTTAGGCGAGCTGGTCCGACGGTGGTCCTGTGTGGAAGGGGGTTCTAAGAGAAAAAGAAGGTAGGGCACCTTGAACAAGCCCCCCCCCCCGCTGTTTCACATCTTTTTACATTTCTCAGACCATGCAGGCGGAGCGAAACATGTCAAAGTGGCGGAACTGAAATGGGGCAAAGAGGTGCGGGAGAAAATGAAGCTATATAGAACAAGAAGCTACAAGTAACAAGTGCATCGCTACTAGATCTGAGAGATCTGAGGCTGAGATATCTGAGGCTGAGAGATCTGAGCGGCAGTTGAACACATTCGGCCCTTGCAGTTGACCGCAGGCAGCAAAGACAACCGTGCCAGTGGCTGATGTTTTTTTGCAAAAAGATCGTTTCAATTCCTTGTAGCGTCATTGTGCTAGCGCTACTGCCGTGTGCCATGTCTTGGTTTAGGCCGAGCGGAAGCAATGTTGTCATCGGCTGTGCTGCCCTCTGCTTGCACATGCCCAACCAAGCCGATCAACCAGCATTTACTGTACAGACGACATTGCAGAGGTTCTTTTTGACTAATGTCTCCGCTGAAGAGGTGAGGTGATCTATCAGCATGATGATGACACTGCCAGTGCACTGGTGGAAACAATGCAGTTTCTGGCTGGCAAGGACTGACTTGAGCATTTGGACGCAACAATCAACTAGCCACTTGCTGGGATGATAGCTGGAAAGCTGGCTTTCAAGCCAGAGCTCTCCGACGAAGATGACAGCTTCGACCAAGCGCCCACCCACCCTGAAATTCTGGAAATCGATAGCGCATTGCTAATGACTAAAATTAGGGTGCATTTGCTGTTCGTATGTCATCAAAGTTGTTGTTATGTTATGTTGTGAGGCCATTTTCGCTTGAGCGTAGTTCCGTTAAGTAGAACTCAGAACAAACAGCTTGCGTGCAAAGCATGCGCTGCTTTGGCTTGGGCTTAGGCCCCTTGTCGATCGCAACCTCACCTTTCCCTGTGTTGTCCTGAGCCACTCACTGGTGCACTTCGGAAATACACGTCATGCCGCTGCCAAAGTGAATGCAGCCAGGGCTGGCCAAAGTTTTCTCTCTCTCTCTCTCTCTTGACAAAAGATAGATTGCATAGGAGCGTTGCATTCATATGCGGGCATGCTCCAAACCCTGGCGAATGATAGGGGCTCACAAAAGAACGATACCCTTTATATAATCCTCTAACGCGTTTCAAAAA